CTTCCCACAATACTTTTCCAACAGCTCGTAGGATGTTTGAGAAGTTTCGTTTAGATGATTTGCATTATGAAGTAAAGAAAAGGGGCAACACAATAACCATTTGGAGGAACTTATAAACCCCTACAGTTGACTTACACACTGATGAGGTATAACATTATGACCACCTGACTAATATTGGTCCCTCTTTAGATGCCACAACAACCCTGACCCACTAAACCTGAAGGTGTGCTGTTGTATCTGGCACCAAGATTTTACCAGCAAATCCTTTAAGCTGTGAGGTGAGGCCTTCATGGATCAGACTTGCTTGTCCATCGCATCCAAACGATGGTCGACTGGATTGAGGTCTGGAGGATTTGGAGGCCAAGTCAACACCTCAAAGTCATTGTTGTGCTCCACAAACCTTTCCTAGACCATTGTTGCTCTGTGGCAGTGCGCTGTTCCTGCTGAAAGAAGCCACAGCCATCAGGGAATACAGTTTCCATGAAACCATGTTAATGGTCTGCAACAATGCTTAGGTAGGTGGTACGTGTCAGAGTAACATCAACAAGGATGGCAGGACCCAACAAACTGATGCACGGTGTATTCTGACACTTGCATTAACTGTTTTGGTCATTTGAGGTAGCTCATCTGTTACGGGTCAGTCGCCACAACCTTACAGTCATGAGCGAGCCTTGGCCGCCCATGTGCCTGCTGGTTAACCACTCTCCCTTCCTTGGGCTACTTTAGCCAACTTTCTTCTGGTTGGCTGCCCATCACAAACTGTCTGTATTGGTGCATTCACAGAAGCCTGAAGTCTGGGATTACACAAATACGTCCAGATACACTAAACTTATTATCTGAAAATGTGGCTGTGTAACTATCAGACAGAAAATAGGAAAGAAAAACTAATACAGTAACAGTATAGCTTAGATACTACAAGTAGCATCTAGTTATAGTAGATTTATGGGTTAAAAAAATGACCTCCAAAGATAGAAAATGAAAAGGATAAAAAAATTTTAAAGGTATGGATTTTGATCAGCACCAGAGACTGCAGTGCCAGCCTGTCTAAATCAATTAAAGATTTGTAATATTAACAAAAGGTGCTTGTCATGAAATATAAATATAGACACATTTGTGAGAGTCTCTAAACTGCTGTGAGGAGTTAATGTTTAAGTTAAGTGTACAAGAATTAATCTATGGACAAAATAAAGAATTAATCCTCACAACAGACTTGATATAAAGAGACGTTTTGAAAAAAGTTTTTTTTTAAAGACTACAAATCCCTGCAAGCTTCCGGTCGCAAGCTCGTTCACAGAAGCATTTGATTGGACAAACTCAGTAAAGCGCCTTATGATTGGTTGACGGTGGCCATGTTTGTATTTCCAGCTGGTAGATGCGGGCTAGCTAGCCGGTTAGCTACCGCTGCATTTGGCTCTTTCTTCGGGGTGAAACATTGAAGAAAGGCCGTGCCACCCCGTTAACACTGGCTTATCTGACAGTCGCAATGCCGGTCCACTCGCGGGAGAAGAAAGAAAGCAACCACGAAGAAATGGAGGTGGACTTTCCCGAGCAAGACGGCAGCACCACAGACGAGGAGGATACCGTTAGCTCGTCCGTGTCTGAAGATGGAGACAGCTCGGGTGGGAAAAATAGGCCTTGAACATCAACCGACAGTTAAACTCGTGTTACATACTCGAGTGTAATTTATATGTTTAACAGTGCGCGTGATTTCTCTTAAAAATGGGCTGACAGGTTGCTTGGGTGTGAAGTGCAGTGTGGGGTTGTCATGTGGATGAGGATAAAAAGCAGTTGTGGTGTGGAGGGGTTGTCAAAGCTGTCATGTCTGTATGTGAACAGAGATGGACGATGAAGACTGTGAGAGGAGGAGGATGGAGTGCCTGGATGAGATGACCACACTGGAGAAGCAGTTCACTGACCTGAAGGAACAGTAAGCTCTCTGACATGTTTCACACTGAAAGCAGCTCTGACATCTGGGACTCACACTCTGAGGTGTTTGTCAGATTCACTGGGATAGTGACATGGACCGTGGATCTTGGTCCATTTTAGCCAGTATTACTGGTCAATATCATGGATTTGTCTTGTTGCCTTCAGGCAGTTTGTATAAAGTACTGGTTCTGAAATGGTGTTCCAGTATGCTGTGAGGCTGTGAGTCCAGAGGCCTATACTACAAAATAAGTTCAACATACCCACGCAGCCATCTACCAGTTTGCCCCAACACAGAGGTTTGTGGAGCGAGATCTGGAAACTATCCCAGCTGTTACAGGGAGGGGGAGACATGAGCTCAAACACTGCAGACTCGCTCACTATCTGCACAGTGAAGTCCACACATGATAGTTTACAGGAGTGATTGACATAACCTGCTCTGGAGGAGGTTGTAGATTACCATGGCAATGTACCCCGCCATGACCTGACTGGGACTTCTGTGCATGATCTTTGCTGAACCTACGACGTAACCTATACAAGTGGCCGATGTCATTGAAACATGCTTGTGCTAGTGCATTACATGCTATTTACCATGTCCTTTCTCCCCTCCGTCGTCCCCCGCTCTTTGTTGTGGTCGGTTTTTCCAGGGTTAACATATTTGTCCCTCTAGTTTTCCCACTGCTTTTGTCCCACAGCCCTTCTGATAGTAACAGCAATCAGTGCTGAAGGCCAGTGGCCATAGTTGTGGGCTGCCTCAACTGGTCGTGTAGCTCCATTTCTAGAGAGGTGCTACATTTCACACCAGTTTGTGTAATAGATTTCCTGCTGAAGCATAATTCCCCAGTAAGAAGTGAGTCATAACACACCCTCGTAACACTGAAAACCCAAAGGGTGAACCTGGATTTGCATCGATAAGCCCCAAATCTTGCTTCACAGTACAGACCTCCAGTGTGCCTTTGGATTGTGTCTCATTCCTGGGTTATTACTGTCCAGTCCAGGTACTTACTTATGTCATATTTGGAGAGATTTCTACCTGTCATTCACCGGGCCAGGCCATGCCAGTCACATTTTTACATCAGTTCTAAAATGGGTCTGACAACAGACATTACAACACGGTTTTAAAATGCAACTATCTGCCGTTCAGGTTGTATAAGGAGCGTTTGAGCCAGGTGGACATCAAGCTCCAGGAGGTCATGGCCGGTTGTGCCCAAGAGTATCTGGAACCTTTAGCCAACCTGCAGGAGAACATGCAGATCAGGACCAAAGTGGCCGGTGAGTCTATAGTTGTCATGGAGACGTATAGGTCTGACTGTGACCTTGACATACAAAGTTTACATTGTAGTTTGTGAACCCAGTTGGATTAACAGTATTTCTGCAAATATTACTTACAAAATAAGGTCTGACCTCCATCTAAGTCACAAGTCCAAGCAAAGATGGTCTGACTGAACAATACTGAATCATGCAGGCTGGAGAAATTAGGTGCATCCCTGAAGTGAACTTGTTTAACAGCAGTAATCTCCATCGGAGCGTTTCTGTAGCTTCTTCTCAGATTTCCACAGATTTCATCTGTGCTTCAAGCACGTGTGTATCGATCTTGATTTATGTGTAGAGATCCTGATCATTTAAAGGGTTCACTATATTTTCTTGGCATTTTAAATGGGAATATAAACTTTGAAATACTATCACCTCCTTTATGTACAACTCTCAGCTACAGAAAAGGATCTTGTCCTTCCTGCAGATTAGATTTGTATGATTTTTTTCCAGGGATCTACAGGGAGCTGTGCTTGGAGTCAGTAAAGAACAAATACGAGTGTGAGATCCAAGCAGCGTGCCAGCACTGGGAGGTGAGAGGCCAAGTTAAAATACATCTTGTTCAAAAACAGAGAATTCTTTATCTTTTTTCTTTCTTTTGAAGTTTCAAATACGTCTGTAATTTTAGATTTTTGAGATGTTTTCCTTAATTGTGGAGTAAATTCAACTCAATCCTACTAGTTTAAGCTATTTGACCATTTTTGCTCAGTATTGTTGTGTGTGTGTGTGTGTGTGTGTGTGTGTGTACGTGTGTGTACGTGTGTGTGTGTGTGTGTGTTTTCTGCCTTCTAGAGTGAGAAGTTGCTGCTGTTTGATACTGTGCAGAGTGAGTTGGAGGAAAAGATCAGAAGACTGGAGGAAGACAGGCACAGTATCGACATTACCTCAGGTAGCAACAAGAACATCCTTTTCTATTATTCTGTATTTTTATCAGGTATTTATCCAGAGTTTAGTCAGGAATTACCAAACATTTGTCAGAAGTTGGGTCTATGGTGACCAGAGATGGGCAGTAACGCGTTACCTGTAATCTGAGTAAAGTAAGGGATTACTATTGCAAAAACGGTAATTAGATTACCGTTACTTTCCCGTAGGAACGCTGCGTTACTGCGTTACTAAAACCGTGATTTTATTGCGAGAATGTCTCATGACAGTGATGTAAGCAAGTGCGCCGTTAGTGACAACAGCT